TGTGGGAATGAATAAATAAATTAATAAGCATATATGTACAAAACCTATATAAATATTTAATAAACAATATATTTATTATATACTTGCCATGTCTGGGCCAATATTTAATAAATATATACTTATATTTATAGTATAGATTCACTAGAATAATTTTTTGTTGCTTACTACCAAAGAATCCTAGCTAATATGCTAATGGTGATGCCTCTGTTGAATTCAAGCAATGGAAAGCTAGCTTAAACAAATAAACAAAAAAACAAAACAAAACAAAAGACACACAAAAAAGAGAATGCACTGGAAAGATACTGGGGTATCTTAGAAAATGGAAAGAAGAGAATACAGGGACTCAGTGTGGCTCTGGAGGACTCAGTAGAAGAGAAAACACTGCCCTTGAATATTTGCTTTTGATTTCTGCCTTCTCGATTCATGGTTGCAAAATGACTGCGACATCTTCAACATTACAACAGTGTCCAAAGTCCTCCTTAGAGAGTTGCGAATGGTGTGACTCAATTTCAGTGACTCCTAAGCTCTGTGTCTGCTTCAAGTTGCAACTTCTCAAAGCAGAACACCTGATTGGTGCAGCTGGGATAAGTACCTCCTCCAGTGGGGTATAGGGTCTCATGATACCAATGGCCAGTTGGGGGAGGGCACCGCTATGTTCTGGGTAGCCATTATGAACTAGGTGGCCGATCTGGAGATGGGCATGACCTTGTTTACTGGTAGACAACAGCACCAGGGTGGAAAACAAGATGAAGGTGGAGATACAGGCTGGGAAGCCAGTTTACCCATGTGGCCCAGGCTAGTTCCTCAACTTGTGATCTTTGAGCTGGTTCCATGGTCACCCAGGGAGAGCCATGGGCTGCCCTAGAATCAGGAGGACTTCTGCTTTGGGAACCTGTACAAGTGCCCAGTTCCTAGGCTCATAATGCTGACCTTGTAATGGATGAATGTCTTCCCCACACCCACCACTGTGTTCTGCCTTTTTGAGCCAGCATCCTTTAGACCAGGGCTCTGCAAATAACAGATAGTCCTAGTTAACTGGGTGCTATTTCTTTATAAGATATGATGCAGGCATTTAAGGAGACCTTCACAAGAGGAAGATTTTATTGGGGAAGTGTGTAATTGAGAACGCAAGCTGGCTGTCCTCAAGTTGGCAAGTGCAGAAGAAAACACTTGTTTCTGAGCTCACATGAGACATCCACTGTGGTCCACACAGATCTGGAGGAGACTTTTTTTTGGAGTCAGAATCCTCCATCAACTGCCATGGCCTTGAGACATTGAAATATTGGTGCACATGTTCATGTCACATTAATTGTACTTGTAAGCCAGTGAGACCTGGGACCTTTAGGTCAACGGCACTAAGAGGTAGGTGGCATTATGCATATTTTGAGGATGCAGAGGTGGAGAGTCAAAGATGTATGTTACCTTCCTGAAGCCCTGAGTTAGTGACTAAGGTAGGGTGGATTCAATCCCATGTCACTTAGATCCCAAGGCCTGTTAATTGGGATGCTTTGATTTCAACAAAACACCCAACTAAGAATGGCTTAAACAGTGATCTTAATTTTTATAAAAACGAAAGTCTGGAGGTAGATGGTTCTGGAATAAGTTAACTCAGCAGCTTAACACTATGAAACTGCTTGGTTTTTTCCATCTTTCTGCCCTGCTATCCCTAGGGTACAGAGATAGTAAAATATTGTCCAAGGACCTCTGGCATCCCTGAGATCCTTTCAGGGGTTTCTTGATGTCATAATAATATGAAGATACTATTTGCCTTTTTTACTCAATGATTCTCTCATGAGGGTACAATGGAATCTTCCAGAGGCTACATGATGTATAACAGCATCATGCTCTCTGAGGGCCAAGGAAATGTGTGCTTGTGTAGTCATGTGCTTAAAAATTTTTTTGCTTTCATTTTTTAATATAGTAAATCTTTTTTTATTTATTTTTTTTTGGTGGCTGGCCGGTACAGGGATCGAACCCTGGACCTTGGTGTAATCAGCACCATGCTCTAACCAGCTGAGCTAACTGGCCAGCTTAATGATATAATAAATCTTGATAGATGTAATTCACATAAAACAATGCTCTTTTGGTTTCTCAGTAATATTTAAGAACATAAAAGGGTCTTGAGACCAACAAATTTGGGAACTATTGTTCTCAAGTATTTGTTTTGGCTCTCACCCTTGTTTCCTCGTGGTTGCAAAATAGCTGCCACTTTTTGAACATCACAACAATATCCAAAGGCTTTTTCACTGGACCAGATTTCAATAATAAGACTTTCCCAGAAATTCCCCATCAGGACTTCCATCATGTCTCATTGGCTAGAATTTTATCACACATCCATTCCTTCACCAGTCATTGGCAGCAGGGATGACTCATGCCTTGGGGCTAAGTCCTGCATCCCTGAAGGACATGTCCTCCTGATGTCTGAACAAAATTTGAGTTTATTTAGCAAGGAGAAATGGGGTATATATAACTTAAGATATAGATTCAGCTGATGTAAGAGAGACTTCAAATAATAGTGGCTTAATGAAGTTAGAAATTTATTTCCCTCTTATATAACATCTAATCATAAGCTTCTGGGGCTGATGGGAAAGCTCTCTTGTGCCAGGGATCCAGGATCCTTCTATACAGTCATTTTGTCATCTCTAGGCCATTGCCCTTATCTGCATTATATAAGAAGCTACCCCATCACACCTGCATTCCATCATAAAGAGGGTAAGAGAAAGGTATGCTCCTTCCCTTTAAGAGCACAACCTGGGGGGCTGGCCCGTGGCTCACTCGGGAGAGTGCAGTGCTGATAGCACCAAGGCCATGGGTTCAGATTCTACGTAGGGATGGCCGGTTGGCTCACTGGCTGAGTGTGGTGCTGACAACACCAAGCCAAGGGTTGCGATCCCCTTACCAGTCATCTTTAAAAAAAAAAAGAGAGAGAGAGAGAGAACAACCTGGAAGCTGTATCCTGTCCTTCTGCTCATGTCTCATTGGCCAGAACTTAGTCACATGGCCATGTGTAGCTGCAAGGGAGTCTGGGAAATGTAGTCTTTAGCTCGGTGGCCATGTGCCCAGCTAAAATCAATGCTGCTACAGAAGAAGGGGGAAAATTAAATTAGCTTACACCATTTGTTTTTTTCTCCTCCCTGGTCTGGGGCTTGCCTCCTCAGAAGGATGTGTCCTCCTAATATTGAACCAAATCAGTTTGGTTAATGAGGAAGAAGAGAAGGTGGTTATTGAGGGCTCACTCCCCACTCTCTGCTGTAACCACCATATTCTTGGTGGTCTTATTGTTAGTTATTACCTTGACTCATTTGTTATTCACCAAAAATTGGTGGAAGCCTTTGAAACAGTTTCTGTTGCTACCATAAATAGAACTCTGATCCTTCTCATAAGAAACTCACAGGTCCTTGGGATCTGGTTTTAAATCTAGGATTCTCAGCTGGGTGATGGGGCTGGACCATGTGACCACTCTGAGAATCAGTATCTTCTTCTATAATGTGGTTATGCTAATACCTACCTGGCTGGGTTGTCTTGAGGAAGAAATGAGAGTCTGGGAATAACAAACTTTGCCAGTTTAGAGATAGGGGTCTAGAACATAGTAGGTGTCTAATTATAGCAGGACAGATAATTCATCCACACACAACGTTATCCAACAGCAAAGATGAGCAATCATGGGATTCTGAAGAGGTGCAGCCACACCACCTGGCTTCCAATTTCCCTCCTCCTCCCCCAAGAAGACTTTTCTGGTTGCCTCAGCCCACAATATTTTCTCTTTGTCTCAGCTATCTAATGCTGTATAACAAATCACCCCTAATATAGAGGCTTGAGGGCCAACCCCGTGGCACACTCGGGAGAGTGCGGTGCTGGGAGCGCAGCGGCACTCCCGCCGCAGGTTCGGATCCTATATAGGAATGGCCAGTGCGCTCACTGGCTGAGCGCGGTGCAGGCGACACCAAGCCAAGGGTTGCGATCCCCTTACCAGTCACAAAAAGGACAAAAAATATATAGAGAGAGAGGCTTGAAACAATGACAACTTTTATTTTGCGTATGAGTCTATAATCTGGGTAGGGTTTGACAGGGACAGCTCATCTCTGCTCCACTTGGCATCAGTTAGGGGTATCAGCTTGAAGGCTGGGAAGAGGACTGAAATCACCTGAAGTTTCATTCATTCATGTGTGTGGTGACCGGACTGAGAAGAATCAAACAATGGGGGCTCCTCCAGTATCTCTCTCTATCTCTCTATGTGGTCTCTCTGGGCTTTTTCTCCAGCAAGGAGGCTTCAAAGGTAGCTAGTCTTACTGTACAGTGGCTTGGAGCTACAAAGTCTCATGCTCTGAGATAAAGAGGGGAAGGTGGAAGACATAATTCCTTTTACAACTTAACATCAGAAGTCACTTTCACTTCATGCTGTTTGTTAGAAGCCCATCACTAGAATATTATATCATCTTTCCTTGTCTACAAGGCTAAAGCTGACTCATGACCACATTTCATCACACAGGAAGGGCAAAGAGAAATAGAGAGGGTAAGCCTTACTTAAGTGGCTTCTTAAGGACTGACTGACCTGGAAGTAGTAGACATCATTTTTGTTCTTATCCCATTGGCCAGACCAGGTCACAAGGCCAGCATGAGCTGCAAGGAATGCTGGGAAATGTAGTCTCTCATTGGGTAGCTGTGTGCCCAGCTAAAACTTGGGAGGTATTATTTCTAAAGGAAGGGGGTGGGGTGGGGGGAGAATATAGATAGAAAGTTGGCAGATAGTCTTTGCAGCACTCACTGAATGAATGAATCAATAGAGTAATGGATTGAGTAATTGATCTATTGATAATAGGATGACTGTCAAGATCAGCTGAAAGATTGACAGGTGAATGATTGACAAATCCTGGGTTGATTAATTGCCTGGAAGGTGGCAGGTGATCGACTGGCTAATGACTGAGGTTTGGACAGAGGGGCAGCCCTGCTCTACCTCCCCTGTCTGACAAGCCCCCTCCCCATGTCTCTCTCTGCTCCAGTTCAGCAATGTCACCTTCTTACTCTTTGGGCCTCTCATGATGTTCTTGATGCATCCCTATGCCCAGAAGCGCTCCCGCTACATCTACGGTGTCTGCATCCTCTTTATGGTCATAGGTAGGTGTGGGTCTGTGACAGGGATGCGATGGGGGTGAGGAGGGGTGACTGCCTTGACCACCTGCCCTTGCCTCTGCCACTCTAGGCCTGTTCTCCATGTATTTCCACATGACGCTCAGCTTCCTGGGCCAGCTGCTGGATGAGCTCTCCATCCTGTGGCTCCTGGCCAGTAGCTACAGCATATGGATGCCCCGCTGCTACTTCCCTGCCTTCCTAGGGGGGAAAAGGTAGGGTGGGAGCTGGCTGTCTGCACAAGATGGGGCCTCTAGTGACCCATGTCTGAGCTCACCTGGGCCCCCTGGAATCCCCACCCCTGAGCCCTTTGGGGGCCCTTGGAATCCCTCCCTTGACCATCCCAGCATTCTCTCCTACCTGCCTGATTTGCCTGGGTTTCCAGAGACCAATCCTCTGATCCCACTGGTTTCCTGGAATTCCTTCTTTGATCCCACCTGATAGCCAGAGACTATTTCCACACTCTGTCTGAGCCAACTGGGAGTCCTGGAGCCCATGCCTAAACTTACCTAGACCCCAGAGACCCCTCCCCTGAGCCTATCACCTAGGCTCCCTGCAGTCTTTCATCTGATCCTCCTGAGATCCCTGGGTCCCTCTCTTGACTCGACTAATCCCACACTCACCCTAAACCCCTCTGAAACTCTCTCCTAACCCTACCTGACTCACCTGAGCCTTCCAGGACCCTCCCATCACTCCTGGTATCCCTGTAATTCTTCCCTAATCTCTCTCAGGTTTCCAAGAACCCTTGTCTGACCTCTTCTAAATTCACCTGGGCCCAGGGATCCATTCTCCCGTCCTACCTGGGCTCCCCTGAGCCCCTTGCCTGACCTCATCTGAGTCCTGGGAAGCTTCATGAATCTCCTGAGCCCCCTGACCCTCTCTTCTGATCCTACCCAACCCTCCCTGGGTCCCCCATTAGACCCTGCCTGGGCCCACCTGAGGTCCTTGGGACCCTGGGCTGAGTCCTCGTGGGAAGCTCCAGACCCTTTTCTGAGCCCAATTGGACTCCTCAGAACCCTTCCCTTTTCTCATCCACCTTGGCCAGTAGATCTCTAAGTGACCCTACCTGAACTCCCCAGGACCTCCCCTTCCCCCCTGTTCAGCTAAACCCCTTTCCCTCCAGGGCCCTGTTCATCCGCCTGGTTATGATCACCACTGTGGTCAGCACCTTTCTGTCCTTCCTGCGGCCCACGGTCAACGCGTACGCCCTCAACAGCATCGCCCTGCACATCCTCTACATCGTGTGCCAGGAGTATAGGAAGTGAGTGGAGGCTGAAGGTGCCTGGGAGGTGCCCCCCACCCCAAGCACCCCTAATATTCACTGTGTTGCAGGCACTGAATTATCATTAACTGCAGGCTCGTGGAGGGGACGTCCCTTTGCCAAGATCATCCACTAATGAGTGGTAGGGCCAGGATTTGAACCTAAGTCTGTCTGACTGCAGAGCTCATCTCTTTTATGATGAAACCCCCCAAAACATACATACAGGTAGAGAGATTACCCCATAAACCTCCGCACCCCCACTAACCAACCCCAACAACCAGCACATTTTGCCAACCTGTGTTACATATTTCCTTCGGATTTCATATAATTTCACCCCTAATTTTTTCAGGATTTAATGCTCCCGATAAAGAATATTTTTTTTAACTTTTAAAATTTTTATTTATTTATTTATTTTTAAAGATGACCGGTAAGGGGATCTTAACCCTCGACTTGGTGTTGTCAGCACCACGCTCTCCCAAGTGAGCCACGGGCCGGCCCTCCTGTTTCTTAAAGATGCCTTCTGACACCTGACTTTGTTTAAACCAGGATCCAAACATGGTCTCTTAGGTCTCCTTTATTTCATAACAGTTCCTGCCTCCTTCCCCTTTTCTTTGTGCCCCTGATTTTACAGAGAAACGTAGTCATTTGATAGCATGATTTGTGTTCCACGTTTGGCCAACCACTTCCTGCAGTATCTTTTAATGTGTTTGTTTATTTTCTTGTATTTCCTGAGGTTTCTTTCTCCTTCCTTCCTTCCTTCCTTCCTTCCTTCCTTCCTTCCTTCCTTCTTTCTTTCTTTCTTTCTTTCTTTCTTTCTTTCTTTCTTTCTTTCTTTCTTTCTTCTTTTAGGCCAGACTATTTTATGGGTAAAAAATATATAAAATAAAGAATATTTCATGGGTGATGCTGGATACTTCCTGTCCCACCCACCAGAACCCGGTAATGAGTGGTTGTCCCACCATCAGTGTTGTTAGGGCTGAGCAGTGGGTTTGGATGGTGTCACCAGTTCCCTTTGTTGTAAAGTTTTCTGCCAACCACCTAATGGTTTCAGCAGCCACTGGCGGTTTCAGTTGCTACAGACACACGGGACCTCGGTCCATGATCTTGCAAGGGGTGGCTGAAGGGTGATTTGCAGATTCTATTATTCCTCCTGCCCTAATTATCTGGAGCTCTTTCTTCAGTAAAGACTTTTGCTCATCAACTGTGAAATACAGTTGGAACAGGAAAGGTGAAATAGATGACTGACTCTTTTCCCCTTACTCATCAGTTTCCAGAGTAATGAGTTGGTGCCTTTGCCATCTCCAGTAGAGACAACAAAGTGGATTTTTAAAAGTGTCATGGGGGCTGGCGGTTTAGCTCAGTCGGTTAGAGAGGGGTGTTAATAACACCAAAGTCAAGGGTTTGGATCCCTGTACCAGCCAGCGGCAAAATAAATAAATGAATAAATGAATGAATGAATAAATAAATAAATAAATAATCATTATGAACTCAGGGGATTTTTTAAAGTTCTGAAGTATTTCAATCTATTGCAGTCATTATGCTATTGTTAAAAAACGTTTTATTTTGAAATAAATACAGACTCATGGCAAGTTGCAAAATAGTAGAGTCCCACAGACCCTTCTCCCACTGTCCCCCAAAGGTAACATCTTATGCAACCATAGTACAATTGGAAAAGGAGGAAATTGACACCAGGAAGGTGGTGCAAAACTGTTAACCAGACCACAGACTTTATTCAGATCTCACCAGTTCTTATTCATTATGCATTCTGATGTCCAAAGCAACCCATTCTATTTTATTTTGTTTATTTATTTATTTTTTTTAAAAGATGACCAGTAAGGGGATCTTAACCCTTGACTTGGTGTAATGTCCAAAGCAACCCATTCTATTTTATTTTGTTTATTTATTTTTTTTTTTTAAAAGATGACCAGTAAGGGGATCTTAACCCTTGACTTGGTGTTGTCAGCACCACGCTCACCCAGTGAGCAAACCGGCCACCCCTATATGGGATCCGAACCCGTGGCCTTGGTGTCATCAGCACCGCACTCTCCCAGGTGAGCCACAGGCCAGCCCAAACCAACCCATTTTAGGCTAGCGGGCAGAGCTTGTGCTTTTAACCATAAAGGAGTTGCTGTCTCATTCGTCCTCAGTATGCTCTTTCCCAAGAGACACAGGCTTAGCTCTGCTGTTGGAGAAACAGATTTTGGTCTTGAGCTGTCCCAAGACATGGCCTCCAGAGAATGCACCCGCCCCCCCACACCAGATGCACACACACACAAACATAAGCTTTCACACATTCACCCACAGGTGTGCACACACTTATATCCCAAAATGCACAAGCACAGAAGAGTTTATCGGTTAAGAATAAAGATTATGCAATCAGACAAACTTGCTTTAGATCTCAGCTCTGCCACTTACTAGCTGTGTAACCATCAGGTGTGGGATAACATAATCACCTGTGCCTCAGTTTACTCATCTACAAGTGGCTGTGAGGACTGAGTTACTATCTGCAGGACTTTTAGAACCGCACCTGGCATGCTGTGAATGCTCAGCATGTGTTAACTCTGAGCACGTTTTAGGCACCCTCTGCCATGTACCTCTAAGCCCTGCTCCATCCCCCTCCCAGCCTGCCAGCCTCATCTCCTCATTTCCCATCAGAGCCTTCAGCCACCACTATCTGAGTCAGGCCCTGGTCTCCTTTCTTCCCTCCCTAGGACCAGCAATAAGGAGCTTCGGCATCTGATTGAGGTCTCCGTGGTTTTATGGGCTTTTGCTCTGACCAGCTGGATCAGCGACCGTTTCCTTTGCAGTTTCTGGCAGTGGATTCATTTTTCCTACCTGCACAGCATCTGGTAAACACTTTCCCTAGGGCCCGGGGACCCAGAATGAGAGAATTTGAAATGTTAGAGCTTAGATCAGGAGGCTGGGGTGGGGAAAGAGAGATGGGAGACTCAGCAGTGGGGGGAAGGTTTCAGGAGGGGAAACGAGACCCAGAAGGCTCCTTGGATGACCAAGATCCATAAGCAGGAAGACCAGGGTGGGGCTAGGGGCATCTTGCACCCTAACAACCCTCTCCCTGCATCTCACAGGCATGTACTCATCAGCATCACTTTCCCCTATGCCATGGTCTCCATGGCCTTGGTGGACGCCAGCTACGAGATGCCAGACCAAACCCTCAAAGTCCACTACTGGCCTCGGGACACATGGCCCGTGGGACTGCCCTACGTGGAAATCCTGGGTGCTGACAAGAACTGCTGAGACCTGCCAGCCTCTTGACTATCCAGCCACTCACCCCGACTTGTCTGCATCTTGAGAGAGGCCTGGATCAGGACTCGAGCCCGGGGGACACTCGTGGTTCCTTCCTCCATCCCCCTTTCCCCATCCTCCTTGTCCTGTCCTGCCTCGCCCCGAGACAGGGGATGGACTTCCTGAGTCTCTGAGCAGCAGTCTGATGACCCTGGGGGGCTTCCTGGAATGTCCCCCTCCATGACCCACCCTTGCCCTCTTTCATTTCCTCCTCGTGTCCACAGCTTCCTCATGGTCGTTGTCACACGACTTGGTGGGGCTGCATTACCAGGTGCTGGGAGGACTGCATTATGTGGTTTCTGCTGGGAATGATCCCAGGCTGGGGCTTGCTTCCTGGACATCTTATAAATATTGGTGGTGACCACCAGACTCCCTGAATCTGTCTTTGACCATGGCAAGGTCCCTGGTAGTTGGGGAGCATCCCAGAGAACACGCCTTCCAGGGACCTTATCTTACACGCACACATGTGTGTAGAGCCTGTGCAGACCCATTCACATGCTCCTGCAGACTTGTGGGGTCATTGTCACTGGTTCACAGATGGTCCAGACTGGGCAATCTGGGTACTGTGGGGATATGGGGCATCAGGGAGGAGTGAGAATGGCCAGTATAGGCTCTCAAAGCAGTGGCGGGGGAGGGTGTTTCCACAGTGGTTACGAGCACACGGCCCGGAGTCAGGCAGACCTCAGTTTGGATCCCTGCTCCCTGTTTTCTAGTTGTATAGTCTTGGGAAAGTGGTTTTTGCTACCTCTGAAGCTGAAGCATCTTGTCCATAAAATGGAAATAATATTCCTTCCCTTGTGGGGTTTCTGTGTGGATAAAACAAGCCCATGTATGTGACGTGCTTAGCACAGAGTCTGGAAAATATCCATCTATACATCCTTTTTTTTTTTAAAGATGACCGGTAAGGGGATCTTAACCCTTGACTTGGTGTTGTCGCAAATATCCATCTATACATCCTTTTTTTTTTTTTTTTAAAGATGACGGTAAGGGGATCTTAACCCTTGACTTGGTGTTGTCAGCACCACGCTCAGCCAGTGAGCGAACCGGCCATCCCTATATGGGATCCGAACCCGTGGCCTTGGTGTTATCATCACCGCACTCTCCCGAGTGAGCCACGGGCCGGCCCCATATACCCATCCTTTAATTCAGCTGCCCATTCATTTATCCACCCACCCATCCACGCATCCATCCATCCACCATTAACTTATCCATCCATCATTCATCTATCCATCTACTGAGCTCTTCTTTGAACCATCCATTCATCCTTTCATTTGCCCACCCACTAATTTACCCACCCATCCATCCTTTCTTCTGTTATCTGTCTTTTTATCCGTTTATCAATTCATTCATTTATCCATCCATTCGCTGAACCATCTGTTCAGCCACCAACTCATCTATTCACTTATCCATCCATCCATGCAACCATCCAGATACCAATTATTCATCATCATCCATCACTAATTATCCTTCCATCCATCAATTTATTGAGCCATTCATCCGTCCATTTACCCAATTATTTATCTATTTTCTCATTCCACATCCATCCATCTGTCCATCCACATTTAGCCACTCATTTATCCATTTGTCTATTCATCTATCCACCCAAATCATTCAATGGTCCTTCCATTCATCTATTGTCCACCTATTCATTCATTCATTATTCATTCATCCCTTCAGCAAATGTTTTTATTGAGTTCCTCCTCCATGTCAGGCACCAGCCTCTGCGACACTACCCTCAAATACATAGAGTTTCTATTATGTCCCACACTGGCCTCTTTGCAAGACAAAGAAAAGCAAACTCCCTCCT